TCCCTGACTTTGGCCGACTAAGAGGAGCCAAAGGGGCGGCCCGGGGCTTCCTCTGCCGGATCAGTAGCCAAATCTCCCTTGGCTGTACAAGGCCATTCTGCTGATGCAGCAGGTCAGAGCTGCTGAGGGTTAGGAAAGGCAGTCTCAAGACAGAGGCTGTTTATCTGTTGCCTCTGCCTCCAGCCATCCTGCGGTTTTGGCCTAGAGAAGAGGGAGAAGGCATCAGACCCACTCTTGGGATTTCTGGCTTCCTTTCGAAATTTACATCATATTGTGCAAGAACTGGTTTGTCAGGGCTGCCAAGTAGGGCAGCAAGCCCTAGTAGGGCTTCTCAGGGCGGTGGTGACTTCACGTTTGGAAGGCAACAGTGAGATCATATAGTTCAGAGGGTATTTGTTCAGTTAGTATATTTTTAAAACTTCCACACAGATAGTGCCTCCCAAGCAAGTCCAAATGTTAGACATCCATCGTATGCTTGATTCTGATGGCCTGTCCCGTGCCCATCCCACTCATGGGTGTTCAGCATGGTGAGAAGTTGTGCCGTTGAGAGGAAGGAGCACCGGCTTGGGGTCCTGCCTCTGCCACCTAAACTGCCTGTAACTTGCGCAACTCGTCTCACTATTTGGGGCCTCTTTTTTTTTTTTTTTTCTGTGAAATGGGGTTATTTATACCCATCTTTCAAGTTTTATCTGCCCTAATTCCTATTATTATTTCTTACTATTACTGATAGTCATAAAATAGCAAAAAACCACAAAACAGAGGGTACTTAGTAAAGGAGTTTAGAAAGGAAAGCTCATTGTGTGGGGGGAGTTTGAGAAAGCTTCTAGGAAGTGGTGAAACTTGATCTGAGCCTTGAGAGGTCTGGAAAGGCAGAGAGGAGCAGGGAAGGTGTTTCAAACAAAGGAAGAGGTAGGGGTGGGAGCAAGTCTGCAGAGCTGGGGAGATGGTAAGGAGCTGGCGCTGAGAAAATACCACAGAGGTAATGATCATGCTTGCTTTTACCCAGCATGTTATCATTTCCAAAGCACCTCTCTTGTCTGCTTGTGGTAGCCTGAGCTGGGCAGGGCATCTAAACAGAAGTTAATGGATTTACCTAAAAGTCATCCTGGTAGGAAATGGCTGAGCCCAGGCTGGCTTCTAGCTCAACTGCTGCCCAATCCATTCCCTGCTGCTGCTCTAAAGGGAGGCAGGTGGATGGCGTGTCACAGTAGAAAAGACAAGCACTCGGGAGCAGCCATGTCTTGTTGTCAGAGCAGTAGACTGGCTTAAAAGGAAAAGAGTTTCCTTCCAACTCTAAAGCTAAGAAATGGGACCGGAAATTTCAAAGATAAAGGCCTCAAATGGAGAAAACAGCACTTCTAGCTCCACATTTGGGAACCATTAGCACAGAGGTACTGGCTGATTGATCTCCATGGCCTGGGCGTCCAGGAGGAGGGATGCAGATCCCTGAAGCACATGGACTAGCCTAAAACACAGGCAGAGCCTTTTGTTGTTAAAGACATCCAGGCTCAGCTCACACTTGTTCTCATGCATACACACACACGTGCGCGCACACACACACACACACACACATGCACGAAACAGGAAGGAGAACAGAACCTGGAGTGTCATGTTGCTTCTGGCTCCCCTCAGGTTTTCCATTTGCCAAGTATGTTTCCTCAGACAAGTCAGTTGTCCTGTCTGAATCTCAGGCTCCTGAGCTATTCTCAGGGAGTAATAATACCATACTACACAAGGCTATTGGGACACATCCAAAAGCACTTTATGAGCCTTAAAAATTATTAGGAACCATTCACAGGTATTGACAACAAGGCAGCATGTGGGAGGGAGTTCTCAGCCAGCACCAGAGAACTAGGAGACTTGTCTCTAGAGCCTTCATGGGTAACTTGGAGAAAATCACTTGCCTTTCTCGGACTCAGTCCCTCTAAGAAGAGGCCATCCCAGATCCCTTTCTCCCGGTAATGTCATTCATTTCTTCAGCAAACACAGACTGAGGGTGTGCTGGGAGAAGTAAGTACAACCTGCCGCTGCCCACAGGTTGTACATGGCCTTGTTGGGGAGATAGGCGCGTAGTTACCACACAACCCAAGATCTGGACAAAGAGCAAAGGAAGCTCAGACTCCTTCCCTTGGGGTGGGGGCTTGCAGGGTCAAGGAAGACTTTCCAGAAGTCTTCATCTTATACACAATAACTATATATACAGTTTTCATTTGTCAGTTAAATAAATAAACACTGTTCAAAAAAAAACCACACACACAAAACTTGTGGCTTTAATACAATTGTTTCTATCCTCAGGGAGTGTTTTGGGGTTACAGGACAGGGGGTTCGACATCTTAAGAGGGCCTTGAAAGCCAAGTAG